AAAAAAAAAAAAACTCACCAGTGACTGACTAATTCATGATAACCTGAGTCGTGCGCTAGGACGTGAGTCTTAGCCAGCCTCCACAACCAGATGTCAGTTGGGTTCCAACATGGCTGGTAAACCTCCTTCCACTGGGGCTTCCCATCTACAGGCGGTCTCGTGAGCTCAATAGCCAAGGGCCTCAATGTGCCCTCAGGCATCAAGAAAAATAGAGTCCGCGACCCATACAAGGTAGTCCCCTTGAGCTCCCTTACCTTGTTCACAAAAGGCAAGAACACGTCGTGGTAATCTAACATGAACAGCTTCTTTTGCTTCAATGCCTACAGAGTTTTGCCAAAAAAAAAAAGAAAGATAAAGGAAAAAGGATTAGACCAAGAAAATGTTGCATGTAATCATGTCTAGCTTCTCACTGATTGGTCGGATTTTACCTCATCCACAGACATGTAGCCTCCAATTTCTTTCTCTACCAAGTCCGTTGTGATTGCTGACTCAGCAGGCCCGTAAATCTCTGTGTCGAGAGCACTTTTGAGTGGCCATTCCTGTAAAATTAACAAATTTGGCATTAGGCATCTACTGTATGCCTTCTTTCTTAAATTCTAAATATTGAGTATGGATAAGAGCAAAAATTACTGCAGTATGACCAACTTATAGTAATAACTCAATAATATTTCAAAAGTAAAACTTCCCCTATATACATAACAATTAACAGGCATTCCTTTAACATTTCCATTTTCATAATAAATAAATAAATAAATATTGTCCTCCTGAGAGTGAAATTCACCAAATCAAAACAATTATCAAATATGAATGAGTTATTTTTATTTGGAGGGGAGTTTATATATTTAGAAACACTGAGGGGACAACTTTGCAATCAAACCTACACAGTAAGCATGATTTTCTGTGTTGAAAATAAATCTATTGAAGAAGAAAAACCCCAAAATGAACACATTAGGACTCTTAATCTGGAACATACATGATAATTGGACTAAAAGAGTAATAGCCATACCGTAACCAACTTGATGCACAATGGATTGGCACCAGCTAGAGTTTGTCTAGCGAATTCAGCATCACAAAACCACGCGAACTTATCTCCTTCAATAATAACAAAATGCGGCTCAAAACCAAGCACCACATACCCCCACGTGACATCCAGAAAACTAAATATCAATCAGACTACAACGAAAATAATAATAATATTATCATTATAATAATGAAAAGGACAAACGAGGAGGAGTTCATGGATTTACTGTCGATCAACTGAGGCGTCTCAAATTGCAGAACACTGTTTTTCATGTCATTCATATACCTAACGAGCCTGGGTATAATATTCCTTAGAAGCCCTGAAGCAGGAATATCCGGAAGCAAAAAACCTTCGTTGAATAAACTATCAATGGCGGTGAAGTGTGGGAAGCCAAGGTTTTTGTCAATGATGTAAGTCTCCAATGATGGGACAACCGCATGGAGCACCGAGGATAGGGTATTGGCCGAGAATTTCGCCTGCTTTACTTCTGAAAATGCTTCGTCTCTAGGCACGTACACGTTGGAGCTCCTTGACTCGGATAGTGGATCTAAAATTTAAGATCAAACTAGACTTTAGTAAACATCATTTGAAGAAAAATATTTTCTTTGCTTCGAATACATTCTAATCCCTGAATGTGATTCGCTACCGAAATTTTCAAGAAAACACTCTATTCATTCGGCCTCACTAATTCTCCGACACAGATGTTCGTGCAATTATCTAAAAGTTAAAAATCCTTGATTCCACACATCCTATGTGAATTCACAGAGCACCCACTCACATTTTTATAGCTGTTTATATACTTTCTCTATCCTGTCTTATATCTTCCATTCATATGACCATAACTTATAACACACTCAGATTTTTATCATTTTCCCCCTCATAAATCTTTCCATCCCCATTATCTAGCCAGTACAAAATAACAGAAAGGGGGCATTCTACTAAACATGCATCAAAAAACCAACTTCACTTCCTCGAAAAAAATTGGAGACAATGTTCAACACGTGATAAAATCATGGCAAGAACAAGAGGGGTTAGCTCAGCATTTTGACAAACAGTTGCTGCGCATGCCTACAAATTTCAAATACATTCTAACAAACATACATGCTTCAGCCTCTGTGTGCGTGTGTATATAATATGTATCACCTTTATCAGTTCTCGGGCGGCCAGTTCTGCAGCGGCGAGGGTAAGGACGGTCGGGGCCGCCGAGGACGGGGCGAGCCAGGCCGTCGTCGGAGTCAGGATCGCCGAGATCGTTGTAGACATCGTAGTCGTAGATCCTGTCGGAGGCCTTGCGCTTGCCTTGGCCGTCGCCTCTTAGGACGACGAGCTCTTTCTCTCTGTATCTTTTCAGCCCACTCGGTGTATGTGACGGCAGGTAAGACTGTAGCCAATCATTTGTTGTCGTTGTAAAAAAAAAAAAAATCATGTTAAATCATCATGTAACTTTCAGGGATAGCGAAATGGGTACATAACGAAACCATATCATTCCCCTAAAAGATATAGTCACGGGCCCACGAGACAATTTCAAAGTCGCATCTTGTTTTATAGGTGTTATTATTTGAAAAGTCGAACCGAGTCGAACACTACCATACTCGACTTGCCTTGTATTGTATAATAAATGAATTACTAACTCGACTCGTTTAAGTTTGTGAAAGTTCGACATGGTTCGACTCCGCTCGTTTAAAACTGAAAATTTATAAACGACCTTTTCCGTGAGATTAAATAAACAAGTTCGATTTATTATTCGAGCTCGACTTGTTTAAATAAACAAAAAAGAGCCGAAGTCGCGCTTTTCACGAGCTGAGTCGAGCTATATTCGCGAACAGCTCGATTCGAAAACATTATCTTATAAGACTTAAGCCTAATGAAGTAGACAAAAGTGACGCTGACCTTATTGATGAAAAACACTCTCTTTTCGGGGTTTTTATCATCTGTGGGCTGAACCCATGAATTGCAGGTAACGTGGACGGGGCCACCCGACAAATCTTGCAATATTAAGATGTCTTTCACAAATATTTCATTCCGCTGCTCATTTTCCATAATTACAGCACCAATCTCTCCAAAATCCTCAGGAATTTCGAACGTGGATTCATAGTAAGTCTCGTTGTCGTCGTTCCCAATTTTACTTGCATGCGAACCGATGGTTAACTTCTCTTGTCCAGACTCTTAAATAAATATATAAATAAAAAGAAAAATTATTAATATAAACTATATATCTTTGCATAATTAAGTAAAGAAAATTGTGGGTATGCATGATCAATAAACATAAAACTTACGAAGATCAAGCTCGGCCGCGACGAGCTCGACCAGAAGTGTTTTACCGAGCAAGCCAGAGATACCATCTGCTAACAATCCACGGCTGAGGCCCAAGTGCGAAAGTACAGTACTCCCCGCTGTTTGAAGCACAGTCACGACGGCCCTCAAGCTCCTCGTCGCTTTTCCGGTGGCGGCAGACGAGCCGTGCTGCCGGAGCACAGGGTTTTTCTCGGCCGACATGGAAGATATCTGTGAACTAGGTGATGGAGCGCAATTTCGAATGAAAGGCTTAAATGTTTTGTGCACCTATATGTGTTTTAAGTAAGAATCAACTTTAGTGTATTATTTTATTTTTTGTTTTTAATTATAACTTATTTTTTCAAAATAATAATACTATTATTAGTTGTACCTATGTGGTGATCATTATTGGTAGATGAGTTGTACAGAAAAGAGCATATATATTAAAGTACGATTATTTTGGTTTTTTTGTAGTGATGATAATAAATTATAAATTGAAGTTGGCAGTACTTTTAATAAATCATTTTTCTGCAATTAATAGGGGCTGTTGACTAATAATAGTCATTATATATGGATGAATAAAGGTGTAAAAGAGTGTGAACCGAGCTCGAGTTGAGCGTTTATCAAGTCAAACTCATTAACTAAATGGGTTAGAACTCGTCTCGTTTGTCATATTGAAAAACCAAGTCATAATAATTTACATATAAAAATTCATATTTTTTAGTCTTAACAAACACACAGTCAAGTTGGGCTCATTAGACGAGCAATACTGAGCTCGAGCTCAACTTGTTTTATTAAGCGTGCCTGCTCGAGTTCAAGCTTCAATTAAGGACGACACGAGTTGATCATCTAAGTCCACGGACAGCTCGTTTCATATAACAATTATAGCGAACATCTAGACTTTGATGCTTTAATTTAAATCATGGAGCTAATCATGTGATCTTTGAATATTAACGGTGATTATTAAAGTAAAGGCAACATGGCTAAGTAAAATAAGTACCGTACTTGGATATGAATTATTGTAATGTTCACTATTTATACTGAATTTAAATCTGCATTTGATATTTGTCAACTGTAACTTAGTTTTCGTTTCATTAATATACAATAATGCAAGAGGGAATAAAAAAAATAAAATAAAACCACTCTAGCTGCTGTGATCACATTAAATTAAAAAATAAGATCCAAATTACTGATAATTTTTTTTTGGTACAGGAACCTTCCGGTTTTTTGATTCATAGGGGAACCGATTAATCTGGAATCGAGCCGGGTAGGACCACAAAGGCGGCAAAGCTTTCCCTCAAGAGTTTTTAACACTGCTGCATTCCCAGTGCTCGAACACGAAACCACTGGTTAAGCCAAATTACGACAATTTGATGTGACGGCTTAATGAAATTGGCAAGTGGAAATATTGGAACATTCAATAAATTATATGGAACCAACTTCATGTGGCTGATTTTTCTGTGTGATTTTAGTAATTATTTTAGTCATCAAATGTCAGCATTTATTTTTCATTTTTATTTTGTTATTTCCTGAACGTGAAATATTGCTCGATTGCATTAATTTAGGGATAATTATTGTGTGAAGATTAATTAAAGTTTACTTGAATACATTTATTATAGCAGCATTAATGTAATTAATTTTATATATTTAATTATTTTATGGTTAGATACATATAAAATAACGGAAAACGCTACGGTCCCGTTATAGAATCATTTCGTCAAGGTTTGTAACCGTTTGATCAACTGTCCTCGACGATTACATGACGATCTAGGTTACAAAATCCCGACGGAATGGTTCCGTAGCGGAACTGTAGCATCTCTCGAAAATAACGATCTGGCTGACAAATTTCAAATCAAATCCCCCTATATATAATTCTCGAATGCGCTGAGTCTACGTGGTTGATTCTGGTGCTTCAGAATCGTTCTTGGCGAAGAATCATGTTTCGTGTTTTAGTTTGGACAATTAATTTTGATACTATAAATTAGTAACTTTAGGTTCAGACATTTCATAACTTAGGTTCAGACATTCCATAAATATTATTAAGCTAACTTAAGTAATTTCATAACACTTATACTAATATAACCCTTTAATTCTTTGTAATCTTACATAGTGCGACACTAAGAGACTAATATATCCCTGACTTTTTAAATATACTTTTAAAATTGATAATTTTTGTATTTCTTATCGGTTTTGCATACACTCCGGGGGATCATTAAGGCCAATTAAGGCCTCCCTCAGAATCACGGGGGATCATTAAGGCCCGCCACGGCCTCCCTCAGGATGAACTAACTATTTCTCATACATACCTCGGACATGGTACGGAAATTAAAGATGATGTATAACCAGTACGTGACCCCCACCTGATAACTGCTACTGCTAGGCAAGTGTTGACTGACTGGTAGCTGTCGGAGGCTCGACTCTCCTTAAGCTACATAAATATATCAAATTAATCATCTTTTGATGAGCTTCGATTTGACATCTATCTTTAAAATAATAATAAAATTATTTATTAAATTAATTAGAAAAATAAAATTATTTCTCAATTAATATATTTATGTTTAACGTAATTATATGATATAAGTTAGAAAAATCCCCCTATATATAATTTCCGAATGCGATGAGCCTACGTGGCTGCTTCTGGTGCTTCGGAATCATACTTGGCGAAAAATCATACTTTGTAATTAGGTTTGGACAAATAATAATGATATATTAATAATTTATAATCTAGGTTTAGACATTCCATAAATATTATTTAGCTAACTTAGGTATTTTAATATCATTTGTACTAATATAACCCTTTAATTCTTTGTAATTTTACATAGTGAGGCACTAAGTGACTAATATATCCATGACTTTTGATTTGTTTTCCTAAAATTAGCTATTGAATTGTAAATGTATTTTAGAAGTTGATAAGTTTTGTATTTCTTATCGGTTTTACATATATAATATATCAAATTAATCATCTTTTGATGATCTTCGATTTGACATACATATTGTACATATGAAATAAATAAATTATATTTATCTTTATAATAATAAAAAATAATAATATTTACTAAAATTCATTAGAAAAATAAAATTATTTCTCAATTGATATATTTATGTTTAATGTAGTTAAATGTTGTAAGTTAAAAAATTAATATAATATAATATAGGTAAGTCGCACAAATAAAAAGGGTCATACTAAATATATAACAATATATATATTTTTATAAAAGGTATTTAAATTTTCAACTACTTTTTTCTCATTAATTTTAGATTTGAAGAAAAAAATTAGCAAGCACTCGTGTAATACACGGGCATTGTACTAGTTATTATAATATAACACATGTAAGTCACACAAGGAACAAGTATCATACTAAAATATATAATATACTTTTTTTTTTATAAAAATATTTAACTTTCAACCACTTTTTTTCGTTATTTTTAAATTTTAAGAAAAAAAAATTAGCAAGCACTCGTGTATTATCCAAGTGTTGTACTAGTAGTTATGAAAAACTAACAAATGCACAAGTGTGATTCGGATAACCATACGGAGGTTTTTTGTTGAATTTCTGCCTATCTGCAGCCTGCAGGCCATCAAGTGCCTGAGTAGATGAAATATAAGATTTTTCAACCGTGGGACTAAAAATGAAAATAAAAAAGATAGATATATTTAAATGAAATAAAAACTAGTATTTTGAGAGCAGATCGGCACGATGGGTTGACCCGAAGCCAGAAGCGATCCAGGTGGATTATTTAAACCGAGTAGCAAGGGACTCGGTCAAAACCCGATCGACCCAGGTATTGACCCTGTCGGGTCAACTCGGTATGACTCAGCCATTAAATATTTTTTTCCTTTTTTTTTTACATTTTTATTTCGAAAAACTTAATTATGCACATATATATATATATATATATATATATATATATGTATGTATATATATATATATATGTGTGTGTGTGTGTGTGTGATAATATACAATATTGTCAAGAATTTCGAGTATAAAATTTACATATAAATAATTTTTTATGTATTGTTAAAAGGATTTATATTATTCAATATTTTATAAAATTAATTACCCGACTCAGCAATTGATTCGGTGACCCACAATTTGACCGATGACCTGGAGTCGAGCCCGGGTCAATCACCGATTTTGAGTTTTAAAACTATGATAAAATCAAGAAAAAAAAAGGAATAGGACAAATTAACTAATGTTTGGGAGTCATTAAATAAAGAAATATTTTGGAAATTTTATCTCACCAAAAGAGATAAAAAAAGGCGGGGAAAATATTTTAATATGAGTTTTTTTTTTTTTTTTTTTTTGGTACAATGAAGGGAGGCAAACGCCTACTAGGATCTAGATAACAATTTTCCTGGGATAAGACACACCAGCCAGATCATGGCGTAGCCAGATGCCCGCCCCCGACGGGGGGCTGGACAAACAAAACAGACCACCGGGATCCTTCGCCGCGAGTGATGCCAAATAATCCACAACAAAGTTCGATTCCCTATACACATGAATGATTGCCACAGACCAAGGACGACCCAGCAGCTCCTGAATCCCACGCAACACACTCCCATGCTGTCCGCTATATTGGACATTCGTAACCATCGGAATGATGCTCTTGTTATCAACCTCAACTGTAATCTTCTTAGCCCCAATGTCCCAAGCCAACTGAAGCCCATGGAACAACCCCCATAGCTCGACACCAATAACAGAGCAAAACCCGATGTTCATAAGAAAGCCAGGCACCCAACCCCGCAGTGGTCTCGGATGACACCCCCAGCACTCGCCATTCTCGTTGCTCGATAAAAGCTCCCATTCGTATTAACCTTAAGCTCACCCTCGATCGGGCAAGACCAAGAGATGAGATGTGTTTCGTGCAGCCGACGGGCCCCCAACTTGCTGCTGCTAGCTAATGCCCCTCGTACTTTATCCGCATAAGAGAGAACCTCGCACACTCGTTAACCAATAGTAGTGTCGGTCCCTTGGAACAATGTTAAGTTCCGCCACCTCCAAAGGCGCCAACACGTGAGGCCGAACAAAGATTCCCACCTATCTACCGCCGGAGAAAACCCCCCGGATAAATTCGCAAGAAGCCAGGCCCGAAGGTCATACGAGAAAAATTCACCCCAAGAGGCCCGAGGGAGCAGCCTCTGTCATGTCCTAGCCGCCTCTGTACAATCACGTAAGGCATGCAATGTAGACTCGCTGTCCAACGAGCAGATCGTGCAGAGGGAGCTTGAGGCCATATGGCGTCGTCACCGAGTCTCATTAGTCAGCAAACTGTCGTGGCCCGCGAGCCAAAGGAAGTGGCGCACCCTCTGCGAGCCTTCCCAGGTCCAAATGACCTTACACAAGTCATCGTCTCGTCTCCCCACATGTTGTAATAACCCCGAATAAGCTATCTTCGTGGAAAATTTGCCATCCGCGGACAGCCCCCAGAATAAACTATCGTCACAACCCTTCACTTGCGGCGGTCGAGAGGCCGAGATCCAAAGAAGGGCAGATGCCGACAAGAGGTGTTGGAAGAGCTGCCAATGCCAAGCACCAGTCACCGTAACAAAATCAGAAACAGACGCATAGAGTAGCGCTTCAGGGACTGGGCCCGTCGCCGACTGAATCAACGGGCATGCACCGGGTAGCCATCTATCCCACCAAAAAAGCACTTTAGTACCATTCCCGATGGACCACTGGCAGCCCTGCAACATGTCCTTCCACATGACACGAATGGAGCGAATCACTGAAGACCCTTGAGGAAAAACAAAATCCTCACCCATAAGCGAAGACACCAACTGATACTTGGCCCGAAGCACCCGACACCAAAGTAAGTGTGGCTCCTTCAAAAATTTCTAGGCCAACTTCATGAGTAAAGCACGATTCATAAGCCTTTGATCTTTCATTCCCAATCCGCCCTCCGCCTTCGGCCGACACACTTCAGACCAAGATACCAAACTAACTTTTCGAGTGAAGTCCGTACCGCCCCAAATAAAATTCCTGCATTTCCGTTCCAAGCTGTCACACACCCCATACGGCAAAGAGGCAGTTTGCATGGAATAATAGGGCAAAAAGCTCAATGCCGACTGGGCGAGGGTCACCCTTCCGGCCATTGAGAGCGACGATGCTTTCCAGCCCGCCAGCCGTTTCTCTGCTTTCTCCACAATGTCAATGTACGTCGACTTGTTCACCCTGCTATGAATAATAGGCATACCCAAGTACTTACCAAGGTTATCTACAACCCGATAACCTAAATGCTGGGCAATGGAGAGACGGTGCCCCTCATCCGTATTAGAGGAGAAGAAGATCTGGGTCTTAGGGCCGCTGACTTTCAGTCCGGAGGCCTCGCAAAAAGTATGAAGGATAGACTTCAAGCCCTCGGCCTGGCCATGGCTAGCCTCAACGAACAAAAGCAAGTCATCAGCAAAGCTTTACGAATATATGTGTCTAACTAGTAACTCCTATTATTTTGTAATCTTATGCATGTAGAGTTTTTTAGAATCTATAGGTCTATCACCAAACTAAATTCTCTCAAATTTTATCATATTTTTTTCTCAAGGCTATGAACCTAAACGATACGACCAAGATAAATGCAAAGCTTTACGAATATATGTGTCTAACTAGTAACTCCTATTATTTTGTAATCTTATGCATGTAGAGTTTTTTTCGAATCTATAGGTCCATCACCAAACTAAATTCTCTCAAATTTTATCATATTTTTTTCTCAAGGCTGTGAACCTAAACGATACGACGAACATCACAGCGGCTCGTGGTTGTCGCCTTGTAATAGTAAAGATAGTGATGTAACTTCACCCAATAAAGAGTGCACACAAGTTGTTTGATAATTCCTCAAGAGAAAAGAAATGTTCCATGAATGTCCTCCGGGCGATTTGGAGTACCTGCTCAACCTGCCGGCAGCTCAAGCTCCCTTCGGTCGGCAAACCATCCTCTTTCCGGCACCAGATCCTCTGACGGTCCGATTAGTCCCGCACCTACCGTTGCCTCCGTCAACACCGGTTCGAACTCTGAAGCTTCAAAGAAACCTCCCGTCGTTGCTCCAATCGCCACTATGATTTCGAGTGCCATCTCCCAGCCGGAAGTCACCGGACTTCCTGTCTCTGGGTTCGGCTAGACGATGGCGGCGGTGCTCAACACACAACTTGCCCTAGTCCCGTACGCACAATCTCTTTGTGCTTCTTTGCTTAGGCCGGTTCCCTTGGACCGGCAACCCAAAACCAAATCAACGGCCTTGGACCGACAAAATCCTACCTCCGTCAGTCCAAAAAATCGTCCCACCCGAGCCCCTCTCCTTCGGATCTTTTTCTCTATCTGGCAGCATCCTGAAAGTTCTTTTTTCTCCTTTGGAAGTCTCTAAAATGTCTGAGGACCTCAAATATTCCCTTGTAGGTAAATTCTCTTTCGGCAAGCTCTCCAACGAGGCTATTCGGTCGGACCTCGCTCTCTGGAGTTTCACCGGATGCAAAATATTTTTCCTTCAAGTCAATCACGTCTTGATCAAAGCCGACGACCCAAACACTTCCACCATGCCTTGGTTGAAACGCGAAATCTTTATTCTTAATTTCCCTATGAGGATTTTCAAATGGTCCGTTGATTTCGATTTCATAAAAGAACCACCTACTGTCCTGGTTTGGATCCAAATCCCAGCTCTCCCACTTCATTGTTTTGAGTTAAAGGTTCTTCAAACAATCGCCAACATCTTTGGCACCCTTTTAAAAGTCGATGATGCTACACTACACAAAACTCGGGTCCAATATGCTCGCTTTTGCGTTGCCCCCAATCTTGAATCCCCACACCCAACTAGTATATACGTCTCTTGCGGAAACAAAAGCGCCGAACTCATTGTCGAATTCGACGCTTACCGAAATATTGTTCCTATTGCTCTCATGTGGGACATGATGACTCAACTTGTTACATAGAAAATCCAACTCTTCGCCCCGCCAAAATTAACAAGGAAAAAAAACCACATTGAACCCTCTTCTCATATTTCTCCCCCATCTTCTTCTCTTCTGACCTCCCCACCCACTAGCCCACCCAATCCCTTCTCTATTGCCCCGGAAATGACTCCCACGGACTTGGTCCCTCCTCTTGGCAAGGCTCCACCGAACCCCTCCTTATTAGGACTGGTTCCTTCCCTGACCCAAATCTCTGACCCCTCCTCTTTTCCTTAAGCGGGATCAGGCAATGTATCTGACTTTTTAGAGCCAGGCTCACCTAAGCTCAACTAAGTAATTGTTGAGTCTTGGTCTTTTGATTCTAAACTGCACTCCTCGGACCATTCTCTCCCCTTTTCTAAATTTGATGATGACTTCTCTAACTTGCGTAAAAAAACCAATCACTGCTCTTCTCTCCCCCTCTATCTCGTCCCATTGTCCACAGATTTACACCAACTCTCCAGGAAAGAAAAAAAAAAACAGCGGATTAGGCGCAACACGTGGAAGAAGAAAAAAATGGACCATTTTCGAGATTCGTTGATGAAGTGATAACTGTTGGTTGTTGTCTTTCTTCTTTTCTGCTTTTTTTTTTCTTTCTTTCGGATTTTTATCGGACTTATGACTATATACATGATGGACTCCAACCTTAATCCTCCACCCCGCTGTGTGTTTTTTAAATAAAAAAAAAAAGTTCACCAAAACTTCGAAACGAACTTCGGGTAAAGTGAGAAACAACTAAATTTGGGTACTAAATTTATTTTCTCCCGTGTTTCGTGATAGTAAGACCATCTCCAGCCCTTAACTCTACTCTAGCGCGGATTTTAGTCTACTCTAGAGTAGAGTTAAACATCCGTCTCCAACCATTGTCTCTACATTTTACTCTACATCAAATATATTATTTTTATATTTAATTTTTATTCAAATAAGTTGGTATATATATGTATATTTAATCTTATATAAATATTTATTATCCAAATAATAAAAATATGTTTATTATAAAAAATACGTTACACAAAATTATAATACGTAAACAAAGAAAAAAAAACACAAGAATTATTTAGCATAATAAATATCTTACACAAAGTTATAAATTATTTAAGAATAAAAAATACATTACACAAAGTTATAAATTAGTTAGCATAAAAAAATACATTACACAAAATTATTTAGCAATAAAAAATACATTTACTAATACATACTATACAAAAATTTATCATCAATATTACATTACAATACAATAAAAAAAATATAGAGATGCTACAGTGTTGCACCAAATATAGCGCAACACTGTTGCAATCTCTAAAATACCGCAAGCATTTAGCGCCGGGCTAGATTGCATCTTGGCGCTAGAATAGCGCAAAAAGAGCGAGATAGAGCAGCACTGGGGCTGCTCTAAGTTATGCTATAACTTTAAAATTCATTTTGTATTTTGAGCTTTAATGTTGTAAGATGTCATTTTAAGTTCACCAAAATTTCGAAACAAATGCAAGAATTGATATATGCGGTTTCCTGAGGCCCGTAACCATAAGTCTTATATACACGTGAATTTTATAAAGTTTTTGTTCCCTGAATTTTATAGTGCTTTGCTCCTATAATAATTTAAATTTGCCGGATTTAATTAGTAATTTTATTTTTTTTCATTAAATTATACAAATACTTATATTGGACGAGTTTGGTTTTACAAAATCTAGGAAAACGGGTTAGCCCCATGTACGTGAAGGGCACCTTCATACGAAGCCCAAAAGTAGGCCTCAAATCCAAGTAAGTCGGGTAACAGGTACGTCATCACAGGAATCAGAGGAAACGAATACGGTCTCATGTACGTGAAGTGCACCATAATAGAGTGAGTTTATATGTAACATAATGGGATTCCATCCAAAACAATTAGTAGTAAGAGTAACTCACTAGCTTATAAGTCGGACCTATTTTCCATATATAAACCATGATTTTAAAAGACCTATTTTTCATGTATAAACCATGATTTTGAAAGACTACATCGACCAACCAGTTCAACCAGGAACTAGCCAGTTGGCCGATCCAGTTTGAGCTGTGGAACCGCGAAGGGCCTTAAACCGGTCATGAACCGCCTAAATTGATAAAACCAAAAAATGGGTACCGGTTTGGACGGCCCATTGATCGACTTGGGAAAATTGTACCCATTGAAGCAAAAGTTATCTTCTAAATATTATTATGTTCTTCTTTCTTTTATCAATGTGGAATATCTACTAAACTAATCTAGCTTACCATTTTCTCCTAGTCTTTGTTTTTAAGTTGG